CAGTTGAGGTCTGTCTCCTTGTATCAGGAACAGTTTCTTACTGGCTATGTTAACGTCACTCAGACACTCTAAATTATCTGTATACATGTATATAAAACAAAAATTAATTATTATTATGTATCTCTTACCCATTGAAGGAACAATATAATCAAACTGAATACCAATAGAACTAATCTCTTTCGTTGTTTTTTCTATTTTACAAATTACAAATGTATTTACTAATAATTAATGTACTGATACTCTTACCAGCAGTTGTGGTGTCTTTCAATGACTGCAACTCTTCCTTTAGTTGTAATTTCTCTTTTGTCAGTTTAGCAATTACCATATCATCATCAACAACTTTAGCTTTAAGTTTCTCATTCTCTTCTACACAAAAATTACAAAAGGTATTATCATACAGTAATACTATGATAGTTTTACCATTAGTTAAAGTCTTCTCCTCTGTCAGTGTGGCTATATAAGTTTCACTATCAACAACTTTAGCTTTAAGTTTCTCAATCTCTTCTACACAAAATAAATCTATAATAACATATTACCATATAAGGATATACCTTCACTGGTTGTTTGTTTAGTTGCTGTTGTCTGCTCCTCCTCCTTCTCCTCTCCTTTAAGATCATCATTATCTTTATAAACTAGTAAACACACACACACATCAAACAAGTCTCTGACTATTACTGTGTGTGTGTATATACTTACCATCAGTTGGTCCAGTAGACACTTCCTCTTTAGTTGAAGATACTTTAGTTTCTTTCACTCTTTCTACTCTTGTCTTGTCTAGTGGTATAGGTTCAATAACTACTGACACACACACACACACAATAGAGGACTATACCTTGCTGACTAGCCTCAAGGAGTGCTTCCTGCAGTGAGGTCTTGTTTCCCTCAGATACTCTTAACTCCTGCTGCAGCGATTCCACATAATTTTGTAGTTTTACTTCTCTCTCTGTAGAGTATACTATGAACTGATCTTGCCACCATTGTCTCTTCTTTAATAATAACTGATACTTGTCTTGATAGGCCTCAGTAGTCAGACCAGTAGAATCTAGTACTTCACTTACTCTCCATTCACCTTCTCTTAAAACTAATACAAACATGAAGGAGGAATAATTCATGTATGTACAGTACATGTAAACATGATGTAATGCTGTTACTAATAATAGAACACAATACATGTAGCATTAGAGGGTAAAATACTATATAAATGTTATGCATTAATTGTTGTTTTATTCACAAATTACAAACCAGAAAATACATTTTAAGGGACAATTGCTAAAATAAAGTGCTGGCCAAATGGCACCAATACAATAATACAATAATTGGCACCAACCAATAATTTGGTTATGTCAACTATCATTGCAGTTCATTATAACAATAATAATTCCCTCATGTTATGTTATGGAATACCAGCAATGATGTACATGTATTTAAACTTAAACTTAAGTTGTATCTCCAATAAATCCCTCTATACAGTACATACAATACAAAATAGTTCAGTTCTTACCTAGTTCTATTAACATTGTGATATTAGGATCAGTGATATAGTCAGAAACAGCTTCCTTGTATCCTCTTCCAACATCTTTCCATTCAGCTACTGTATACCCACCCACTACCACCAACCACACACAGTCTGGACTCATCATTATTGATGATAAGGAATGAAAGCCTCTACAAGTAACAGATTCAGGTAGATCAATCTGTTGAAATAATACATGTATGGTAATATTTTATCATGTAAACAGTATTTACAATATGTTACAAATATTCAAGGGAATATACATGTACATGCATTATTAGGTACATGTACTGTACATGTACACAGTGAGTATTTCTAAGGTATTAATACAATACAATACATTAACATGACAACTACTGTACAATCACTGTATCACACACATGTACACTCTAAACTAATAACATTATACACATACCTTACTCCACTGGTACTGACTAGTATTCAGTAACCAACTATCATTTACTAGTTGACCATCATTACCCTCTCCACCTATCATTACTAGTGTAGGTGAGTCACTGATGATACTAGTAATAGCATGATAACGTCTCCCCACAGGCCACTGTACACTAGCAGGTACTACTGGTCCCTTAACACTCTCCCAGTGCTAGATAATATGAATTGATCACAGTATAGCGGGAAATTTTCGAGGGAATTAAATTTGGCAAATATGGCGCTTTGATTTCTAAACTAAAATTTGCTAATCACCAAAATTTAGCTTTTTGTCAAATTTGTCCTTCCAAAATTTCCCACTATACGGTAATGCATGTCCAAACATGATTGATCCATGCAATAAATACATCCCATACAGTAATAAGATAACTTACAATTGTAGTATCAGACTCCAGTTGACATGTATAGACTGTATTAACAAGTATATCATATCTACCATCATCCCTAGGCACTGCTCCACCAAACATGACAGCTTTATTATTAGTAATCTTTTCAATAGCAAAGGCACTAGTAGGAGGACAACACTGACCACTAATAGTTGGAATAATCCATTGTCCTAAATAGAAATAGATAGTATAATTAGAATTATTAAGTATGACACTGCAAATGTCATTCTGTTCAACTTTGCACAGATACATGTCAGGTGTGGCTCAATATGACAACATTTGACAATATCATTCATAAATGGAGTAAAATGATTATTAGAGTTCAGTAAACTAAATGAATGAATGAATGACAGACAACCAGACTACCTAGTCCCTCACCCACACAAAGCATTGGTGAGGGACGTTAATCAATAAATTTAATTAGACCATGTAGACAAATTATTAAAAGGTGGAGTAGGATGCATCCATGCTTGAAAGTTTCATTTTGAATTTTGCATTTTTACTTTTATGTAGCTGATGTAACAACTGTCTCTTCATACAATGATGGCTCATGCTCACTCCTTCAATGTTTACATGCACCTACTTAATATGCAAATGGTAACAAAAATAATGATTGAAAAATATGTCATCACAAGCAGAGTATAGATTGTTATAATATGTGTATTAATTAATAAAATACTTACTTGTTGATAAATTTAATAAATTCTGTTCATTAGTACGAATATGACCATTGCCTAACTGAATATACTGA